GTCATCGATCAGCTGCCTCTTGCACACCCCCCACTGGGGATATGCCCGCAACCAAGGCACATGCCCCCGACCGGAATCGAACCCGGGACCCTTCAGTCCCCAAGCCGACGCTCTATCCATTGAGCCAAACCGGTCCCGGCAAGTATTTTTATTTTTTAATCAAATATTCTTTCTCTCAGTAGGAACTACACCAGTGCATGTATTTGTTAAAACAGACTCAGTGGCACATTAAAATCTGAACATTCAACTCTGTAAATTACACCTCATTTAAAAAAAATCCCATTAAGACATGCATTAATTCATGTTGTATGATTACTGGTCATTCAAAATTTCAAGAACCATCTGAGATGATACTGGAAATAAAATAACAAAAAGCATTATTTAAACTAGCTAATCATTTGCATTATGAAAGCTATTAAGGTACTCATTTAACCTCAGAAAAACTTCTGTTAAACTCAAGGACCAATTTTAATATAAACAGAATAAGTGTAAAATAGCCAATTTGTAATATGTGCTTCAAATTCTAGTTTTGTTTTTATAGCATTCTTGACATTAACATTCTTACTATAAACAATGACAAATAAGAAAACCTTACTAAATGCTACTTTTAGGTACAGCTTAAATATATTTTTGAAACAAACTGATCTAACTAAAAATAAAGCAAGGTAGTAAATTCCATGTACTACACTACACATGGGTTCACAAATATTTACTCCAATTTAAAATACAAAAAAAGTTTTCATCTTGAAATCCAGATTGAAAAGGGAGAACAAGAATTCTAAGCATCTAAACAGTAATACAAGCAATACATTTATAGAAGAGCTTTTCAGTTTCTCTGTATGAAGCCAATGCCATAAAGTGAAGGTGGCAAAGTATGGCTCTGCAGCATCAAAGGAAAAGGTGTGGGGCATGTGAACTGGCATGACTTGACCTTGGCATAAAGGTGAAAATGGTTCACAGGAAAATTCAGAGTTAGGGGACTCTAGTACCCCTCTGAAAGTCAACATCTAATTTGTATTATAAGCCGTTAGGTTGTATCTCTCAGGTCTCTTCCAGTCAAAAATGCTACCTAAGCATCATTACATCAATTCATAACTAGGAATCCATTATAAGCTAATAAAGCATCTTTAGTATACTGTGGATTTAGTTACCCTATGAGTTCAAATCCTATTTCTCATGCATTCAGTGATCTTTCTAATAAGGGACATACCCAGTACAGATGTCACCTTTGTTCTCTTATAACAGCATTAGAATTTATTTACAGGACATATCCTCAGTGCCAAAAAGCTAAGGTTAAAATTTAAGCTGCTTTTAAAACTGAAGAGGAAGGATTAATTAGTATTTTAAAAATGTCTCTTCTAGAGAATACTTGACATTGGAGGGGTGGGGGGAGTGTTAAAAATACAAGGTAACAATTCTCCTTTGTCCCCCCCAACTTCTTTATTCATGATTTCCTTATAAAAATAGATTCCACTAATTTACTTCCTTCTAAATGATAACCTATGGAGATGTCATTTTTAAGAATCTTTAGTGGTGTCTCCTCCTATATAATAAAAGGCTAATATGCAAATTGACTGGACAGCGGAATGACTGGTCACTATGACATGAACTGACCATCAGGGCAGACGCTCAATACAGGAGCTCCCACAGGGGGAGGTGCCACTCAGCCACAGCCCTTAGCCAGGCCCACAGTTGGCAAGCGCAGAGGCAGAGGGGGGAGCCTCTCCTGCCTCCATGGCAGTGCTAAAGATGTCTGACTGCCCGCTTAGGTCCATGCCCAATGAGGGCATTCCCCGAGGGCTCCAGGACTGCAAGAGGGTGCAGGCCAGGCTGAGGGACACCCCTCCTCTTGAGTGCACAAATTTCATGCACTGGGCCTCTAGTAACTAAAGAACTTTCATAGGTAAGATCTAAACATGACATCAAACTGTGATGAAATGGTTTAGCTTTTATCTGAAAACAAGTCTTAAAATGTCAGGGCTGAAATTTCTGAGATCAACTAGGCCAGTGACTTTAAGTAGGGAAACTTGTTCAAACAGATCCCTACTCAAAAGCTCATATGCAAAACTTTTTCTAGAAGAGTAGGAAACCTTAAACCTTTCTGTCCACAACTCTCCTTTCCCACTCTAACAAAATTAGAAAATTACTAAGTTGGTAATATCCTTTTTATTTCACAGATGTAAGAAAATGATAGGCCCAAAGAGGATAAGGCACTAACCCCAGATTACTCAGTCTACACATGGCAGATCTAGAGTTTGGTTATACCATAACTGTTTCTTTGGAGAACACATTCATTCAGAGTGCCACAAAGACAGTGTTATAACAGAAACACAGTAATTTTAATTGTGTTTCCAGAGGCCAATTCACAAGGTCCAAGGATTTCAGATTCTTAAAAATATCAAGAGACTGAATGTCATCCTCTCACTCTTGCTCTTTACACTGGATGCTATGTCTCTAGGTAACAATAGATACTTTAATAAGGTCCTTACTAGGTAAGGGGACCTGATTAGGCAGACCTGCTATGTAGGTCAGGTAATTAGCAGTTATTTTTTTCAGAGCTATCAGAGTATATTAAAAATGGGAGCTAAGGGGTGTCAACACATCAACACATCTAAAACAAAGGATAATATAGTTTGCCTTATTTAATCTATCTGAAGTCAGTTTAATTCACTATTTACCAAATAAATATTTATTGAATGTATATGCTGTGTAGGTAATGTGGGGAAAAACTGCCGACCAAAGAAAGACTTTCCTAACTAAGTCTTCCTTAGTCCTTACTGCTTCAGTGGGAAAACAATTCCCACACTTAAAACCAATGAACCACTTTTGTGTCTATGTACCATTCCTAAAACAAATTTACTCCTTCCCCACCCTCATCCAATTACACATTTCTGCCTGAGACTACTCCCAGAAGCCACTCTCTATTCTTGGATGCCTGGCCCAACCAGTTCACCAAGCTCTCCTAGAGCCAGATCCTGAAATCCCATCTCCTCTCCCAGAAAGCCTTAACTTGAAAGCCAGGTTAATCTCTCTAGTTCTACCCACACAGTTTATAACTACCACAACTCTCTGTACACATCTTACAATAGATGCCTATTAGTTTGTTCACAAGTTAATTTCCTTTACTCATTGTTTATTCAGTATATTAACCATTACTCTTGTTAGGTACCAGTGTCATTATTAAATAAAAGCTACTGGATAAAAGGGCATGTACTTAATTTGGGTTTAGCACTGAAAATGCCAGGTGCTTAATGCTTTTTTAAAAAATGCCTTTTGAAAATGATTCCAGATATATTAAATTCAACTTGACTTGTGAAATTTACAAGATATCCCAAAATGGATAAATCTAAAAAGCATTATGCTAAGTGAGAGAAGCCAGACACATATACTAGTATGATTGCATTTACATGAAACTCCAGGAAAAACTAGTGATGAAAGTAAATCAATGGGTGCCAGTGATGGACAGATTACATGCGAAGGGAAAAGAGTTTAACATTTTTAGGCTAATGCAATTGACATTTTCTTTGAGAAGGAAAACACGGAGGTATTTAAATAAAAAATTTCATTCTTCCACAGTAACAAACTTACTTTCACACAAAGCAGGGTGTTTTCTGTTTTTAGGGATGGGAATAATTTAAAATCTCAAATCTGGATCATTTTAGATTTCACATTAATCTTTATCTCAAACGATAAACCTGGCATTTTCTTCCAAATAATTTACTTTATCACTTAACCAACAGAACATTTCATTATTCAATTTCTCTGTTTAAAATGTCTATCAAAATTATTTCAGGATAGTGTTAATTTGATTGTTTCCACATCAGAATGAATGTATGTAATCTAGTTCTTAATTCAAGATTGGAGGAATAAATATTGGAAATTGAAGCCACAGTACATATCAATTCCACTTAATTCTCAACTACCCCTGGATCTTTTTGTTATTTTTGAGTAATTGCTGGAGAAGAGTTGGGTTTTAAGCTACCTTTTAGTATCTATTCTAGGAAAGGACTCTTTAATCTCAAAAGCCAAACTATTCTAAAACCCTTTAAACATTTTCCCTGATGTGACTGGCAAGTTACTGACAACTCAACAGGTTCAAGTTACTTATCAAACTGTGGTTTCGTGATCAAGCTTTCTTTTAATACAACCGAGATCTGAGTATGCATTTCAACATAGCGCTGCGCTCCAACTGCCTTTGCCATTACCCACAGAAATTTAGTGCCCAGACTGAAATGCAGCCAAACCCTGCCATTCTTGAGAGTAAATTAACACCTTGGGAAGGGCTTCCTGTAGTATAATTTAGTAATTTCACGTCGCATCTGCTGCAGAGATCAGACTGTCATTATGCCACCTCCTTTCTTGAACCCCCCCCACCACCACCCGAAGCTTTCTTCTTGGCTTTTCAAAGGTTTAATCCACTCAGGACTGCCCACGGGGGAACCCGGGCACCTTCGCTTGGGAACCCCACGCAGAGAAAAGGGCAGGAAAATGCGGTTGAGTCACGTCGCTCCGCCATTTTCTAAGCGGAGGAGGAAGACATGTTGGAACAAAAACACAACAAAAGAGCAGCCATTTCCCAGGCCGGCTCCGATAGCAGCCCGCGCGGGCCGGGCCGGTCCCCTCGGCACCTTCCAGCCCTCCTCACTGCACACCCCTAGCGCATCCGGGGTGCCGGGCGGAGGGCGGGGAGCAGCCTCCGACCCTGCGGCGCCGGGACCGGAGCTCACCCGCAGGCTCCCGACCCGCAGCGCCCCGGGAAGGACGGCGGCAGCTGAAACCGAGCAGGGTGTAATCCACTGGAAACCGGCATTAGGTTGACAAACTGAAATGCACTCAGTGATGGTGGTGGTGACGAACGGTTCAAAGGCAACCCCCTGGCTCAAGGCAAACCCAGGAAGAACTCAAATCCCAGGGCCCGGGCGGGATGCAGCCCGGTCCCTGTTCCCTGCCTCGGCCACGGCGCCCCGTTCCCGACCTGTGCGTGTGCTTGGGGTTCTTACCGTATGTGGGGGATGCCAACCCCGCCCTGAAGGATTTTATAGAGTTTGCTCTCGTACAGCAACTGCGGGTGTCTGGCCTTCTGAGACTCTAGCTTCACTGCCACTTCCTGCGGAGGGGAGAGGGGAGAATGGCATCAACATCCCTCTGGGCTCAATGTCACTCGCAAAGGAAGGGAGACATGAGCAAAAGCTCCAGCTCGTGACCAGAAGGTGAAAGAGGGAGGCCGGGGGGGGGGGGGGGGGGGGAAGGGAGGGGGAGAAAGCGCTCTTTGTCAGGATTATAAAAGGAGGCTCCGGCCTCAAAGGCCTTTTCACAGGGGGGCAGTGACGAAAGCCGCGCGTCCTCTCTCAAGTGCAGGGAAATGATTCATGCAGAAAGCGTAATGAGGGGTTAGGAGGACACCGGGCGATCGGAAGCCGTCCTAATTAGAACAAGAAGCCCAGTCGGATTAAAAAATATTATATATATATATATATATATATATATATATATATACACACACACACACACACACACACACACACACACACATACACACACACACACACACACACACACACATATGTATACTTTGCTGGAAAAAAAGGGTTTTGCTGTTTTCACCTTAAACGACGGTAAAACAGATTACAATCCTGGGAAACTTCCCAGTTCACCCAAGCTTTCTATCGTGGTCTTTCCCTTTTAGGGCAAGAGCGTGGGAGAGGTTCCTCAGCGGGGAAGCGGGCTCCCTCTGGACCCCGGAGCGTGCGGTGGGGATGGGGGTGGGGGTGGGGTGGGGGCGGAAAGGCCCGAGCGGTTGGAGCGGGGGGTGAGGACGGCGGGCGCAGCGTCGTCGCGAACCCCACCCCGGGAGATTACCTCGCCATTGGTGATGTTGATCGCCAGATAAATGTCCCCGAAGGAGCCAGACCCGATCTTCCGTACCAGTTTGTATTTCCCTCCGACAATGAACTCGGCCTTGGAGCCGCTGCTGCTCGCCATCGTGGGAGACGGAGGCGGAGGCTGGGGCCCAGCCCCGACACCCCGGAGAGGAGGACGCGGGCCTCTGGGCTGGTCCCCTGAGCACGGCTGCGGAAGAAGGCGGCAGGGGACCGAGCACGTTGGCTTCTGGCGTCACAGGGCCCCGAATCCGCCGAGGGGAGCCCGATCGCCGCCGCAGCCCAGTCCGGTTTCTTTCTGCTAGGTTGCAGTTTCAAGCGGGGTTCTCGCGGCTCCCAGGCTGGGCCACTTGTGTCCGGGCGGCCGCCACTGGCCTCGCTCTCGCGGCGACGTCGCGGGCTGGAAAAGGGGCGCGGTGAGTTAGGGCGGTGATTACCGCTGCCGCCGGCTCCCGCCCGCAGGGACTCCTGTCACTCCGCCGACGCCGCCATCTTGTTACTCCGGTTCTAGCCAACGCAAAATGCCCCCAGTCCCCGGCAGCCGCTTCTTCACGGCGCAGAGCACTCTGGGAAAGGCGTCTCAGCGCTAGCCCCGGAGGGTCGGCTGTGAGAAGAGGGCGGAACCGGACCCGTGAAAGTCGCGGCTCACGCTCCATGCGTCACCCCGTCACCGCCCAACTGCTCATGCGTACTACAGCCCGGCTGACTGCGCAGGCGCGCGGTGGCTCCTCGTTCCCGCCCCCCGGCTCATTTTCACTTCCGGTCGTTGGCTGGTCCACTCTTGCTACCTGTTTGTTAGTCACCTCGGCAACGCCCGGCCCCTGAAAGGCCTTGCGGCGCCAGGCCTCCAGAGCAGTTAAGAGAGGAGTCACCTCCATTTTTCTTGTAAGGTGTAAGCTTCAGGTCTTGGAGTTGAGTATTATTGACCTTTGCTTTCTGAAGCGGTTTTAAACCTTTGATCTTTCCGCCACTCCCTCCGCCCTCGACTGACCTAGTCCAGCTCAACTTGTTTTGAAAGGAGCTGTCGCCTCTGGTGGAGAGGTAGAGAAAAGCAGCCCAGGACTGGCTGGGTTTGTTCAGGGCTCTCCAAAAATCAATAGGAACATATTTCAAAATAAATAAGTAGCCAGGCCAGTGTTGCTCAGTGATTGAGCGTGAACCTTGAAACCAGGAGGTCAGGGTTGGATTCCAGGTCAGGGCACATGTCCGGGTTGTGGACTCCATCCCTAGTAGGGGCTTGCAGGAGGCAGCCCATCCACGATTCTCTCTCACCATTGATGTTTCTCTCTCTCCCTTTTCCTTCCTCTCTGAAATCAATAAAAATATATTTATAAATAATTAATTAAAAAAATAAAGTTGTACTTTATGCTGAGGTTTTATAAAATGGTGTTAATGGTAGGTAGCTGTTTTGTTAATATTCTTTGACAAAATTAAAGTTGACATTTTAACTTAAAAGCTTTTGGAATCTCACACTCTGGAACCCATTAGTTTAAATGACTTTTAGAAGGCCTTCCAACTGAGATTCTATGATTTTGTATATACATTTGATGTTTCCTCATTTGTTTCCAGCACTGACAAATACCCAGCAAAATGATATGAGTGGCCATAGCCTTTTCAAATGTTATTTCATTTTATTCAATCTTAAGATTTAAATTTTTCAGACTTAAAGAAGGACAAAGGCTGGTTTTTGTTTGTTTTTTAAGAAAGTGAAGCTCTTAGGTGTCAGCTATGACTCAGCCTTTCCCTTAAATCATGTATCATTTATGATTAACTTTCAGCCTCAGCAGTTGAAGAATTACCTGTTTTAGGTCCTGCTATTTTAAAGTTACAAGACATTCTGTGCTTATTGAATCAGCAGCAGCTTTGGTGTAATGGAAGGAGTCTTCTAAAATGTGCCAAAATGCAATTTCTAACTCCTGGATCAGATGAATTCATTAAAATGTAATCAAAAGTGTAGGCCTAGGGTGGTCTGGGTGAAGGAAGTGGGGGAGGGGAGAAAGGGAAATGGGGACATCTGTAATACAATCTGCAATTTAAAAGTATAGGATAAAATTTTAGACTTTGAGGAAGATATCACATCTAGTTCAATAATCATATTTTTAAATGCTTTACAATTTTCACATATCAATTATGCCCTACTAGGACAAAAGTGGCTTGCCCAAAATGATACAGGTGATATTAGAGGCAAAAAAAAGGACTAGAACCTCAACCTCTAACAGAAAGATAAAAAGGAAAGGGTAGGATGCAAATTGGGACAGTCATCCACAATGACTGTCTATGTTTATAGAGAGGTCAAGATGAATTGAAAAAAAAACGTTAAGCCCTAGTGTTTACCTAAGAAAAGGTCACTGGTAACCAGAGTATGTTTTGAGTAAAATGATAAGGACAAGCACCAGAAGTATAGCTAGATGTTGTAAGAAGGAAAATAAAACACAAGGGCAGCCTGCCAATTTCTAGAATTGATTGGTGCAAATAAGTAGAAAAAATGGAATGCCTTAGAATATGTCAATGTTTCAGGTGTTAACTGTTACACAGTCTCATGTACAATGGGTTATCAGATAAGTTAGTAGAGTGATAGAAAACATGAGAACATCAGAAATGTCCTTTTGGGTCAGAGTGATAATCTATTCAGCCTGTTTTCCAGTCATTGGCAATGACAGCAATTTCTGTGTCCCTTCCCTCCTGTGCTGTTATTCAGAAGGTTTTGTGAAAGTAGACTGCTGCATCTGTGATAGCAACTTCAAACACATTTGAGATATTCCATGAACATTTCTTACTTTTTATGTAGCCATTTATTTCAATCAATTTTATTTGAACTTATGCTTTTGACTCATAAGGCTTCAAGACTCTAAAGATTGATAAATTCCATGTGTATGCGATTAATCATTTATATATAAAATATTCACTATTCTTTTCCTTATAAAAGTGACATATATTCACTTGAAAATTTTAGGTAAATCAGAAAAAAGAAGACAAAAATCTCTTAGAGATAATCAACACATGTTAATATTTTGAGTTATATAAATGTACAGTCTTTTTTCTGTGTATATCATGTGTGTATATTGTATGTATATGTGTATACATATATTTGATTTTATTTCTTAAAACTTGCAACAAGTAATCATAGTGTACATTTAGTTTTGAGACTTGTTTTTTTCATTTAGTGATTTGTTGGAGTCATGTTCCCATATGAGTAAATAATCTTCCAAAATATCATTTTTAATGTCTATATTTTAAATATGTATTGTATTGATGGAACAATATTTAACTAATCCCAAGTTAGTATTGCAGTTATTTTCAAACTTTTGCTAATAGTATAAACAATGCTTTAATGAATATTCCTGTAGTAAATCTTAGCTCATATCCAAAATTAATTGGTTAAGGTATATTTCTTGAAATCCTACTATTCTTAAAGCCCCTTATATAATAAACAACAACTTCTGGTTCTGTTTTGGTACAGTTTGTGATGGATAAAACTATGTTCATGTGTTATCCTATTTTCTCCTTTCTTAAATTTATCTTCAAATTTAAATTCTAACCCTTCACTTTCTTAAAAGTAGTAGTTGGATTTTGTCTGACCACCCATTGTTGAAAAACCCAATAAACTTAGAAGAACTCTTTGCAACTCCCCTATTCCCTTCCCCACACATTTCAAAATCTTAAGAATTTTGCAAGTCTGTGGTTTGTGATGTGCTCATACAATTGAGAATGTCCCTTTTATGGACACAGCTAACAAGACACATTTGTTGGTTTGGCTATTGGTGAAACAATTGTGTTTTAGAGATATTTAGGTTTAGTTGAAGGAGGGGAGTGGGTGGTGGGAAGAGTGGAGGGGGATTAGTTTCCTGTAATGGACCCTCAAAATCAAGAATATATTTAATCAGTTATGAAAACAGAATAATCTCATATATGTTCAAATCTCTCATATTTTGCATGAGCTCAAGTTTCCCACAGAAATAAATGTAAAAGGTCTTAGAGATGGGGAAGAATTCCATTTGTCACTGTTCCAAACAGATTAACCCAGGCTTTACTATAGAAATAGTTTACATTTTGAGTTAGGCATTTCAGTGTACTTTGTTAAATGAGAATGTGTCCTTTTCTACCTTTTGTTTACAAATAAAATGTTGTCATCTACATTTAGAGTAGTAGAAAACCAGGAAGTTTTCCTAATTTTAAGCAAGAGCCATGGAAACAATACAAGAGTAGTGGAAATTTATTTTACTTTTAAAAAGTAGTTTGGGCTGGGAGAGGAGAAACCAAAGTATCTCTTTATTTGGGTATTTAAGGGCTAGGTTAAATAGTGTAAGGAAATATATGCTGACCTAAGTTGTCAAGAAATCTGAATTTTAGTTGTGACTGAGACAGGCCAGTAAACCAGGACAAGTGGAATAGAGAAACTGAGACCAGACAGTTAATTAGCAGTGTGCAGCCATCTAGAAAATCCCTGTGTTCCCTAAACCAAGAACATCTACACTAATAAAAGAGAAATATGCAAATTGACCATACCTCCTGCAAATTAATCTAACAAAGATGGTGGGTTAATTTGCATATGCAGGTATGGAGCAGCCAGGTGGGGCAGGATGACTACTATGAAGGGGTAGGCAGAGGTCGGAGGGAGCTACAGAAGTGAAGACTTGCAGATTCCCTGGCAGCCAGGAATAAGGACTTGTAGGGAGTGAAGCCAGGGGAAGGAAGGCCTATTCTTGCATGAATTTTCATGCAATGGGCCTCTAGTTTAGAACAAATTATTTACACTTCTACCTACTAGAGGGTAAATAGCTTAAATCACCCTATTCAGGGAGACAGATAGCAAAAATCCAGTTAGTGCCATTTGCCAACCATACCAAAGGACACATGAAGTTAAGAGAATAGCCTAGGCGGTTTTCTCAGTGGTTAGAGCATGGCCCAATGACTTAAGGGTTGCGGTATGATTCCTGATCAAGGGCAGTTGCAGGCTCGATCAGGGTGAGTTTGGGAAGCAATCAATTGATGTGCCCCCAGCCCTTTCTTGTCTCACTGTCCCCTGCTTTAACAAATGTCCTCTAAAACTCACCTGAACTCATGCTGTGAAATTTTTGTGCAGGAAATCACACTACCCGCTGG